TATTTTTATATATATTAAAATTTTAAATTTGGCCACTTTATATATAAAAATTAGCTAAATTTTTAAATTGGCCTCTTCATATATATAAAAAATAAAATCTGAATTTGGCCACTAAAAATTTTTATTGGTTGGGACTAGGTTGTCCGCACTGTATTAAGTATCACGAACAATTTATGATTTTACCATTAAGTATCACGACAATTTATTAGTCAAAGTGTTTGAAATATAATATTTAAATGTTTAACCATTCATTATTCATTTCATTTTATTTCATTCATATTAGCTATTTAGTGTAAAGATCATAAATACGTAGTTCACATTATTTTCTTTCATTTATTCATTTAATTTCTTATTTGCGATAACATAATCCGTGAGTATATTATTGCGAGTTGCAAAATTTTGTGAAATTTGCAGATTATTAAAAAAAATTATTCTATTGTTAAGAGTTTTTTTTTTTATGATCTATAAATTTTGCAGGCCACAATAATTACGTATTGAGTTAATTAAGAATAGTTAAGATGTTCAAAATAAGTTATTCACAATTTTCTTATAAATGTAGATGAGCCTAATGATATTTAATTTTCTTTTTTTAATCAATATTAATTTAGCCATATGATTACAGTATTAGCAATTGAAGTATCTAGAATAAGCTCTTATTTATTAATTGAGTATTTCAAAACAAACTTCATATTGACTTCGTATACGAAATCCAGAAATTTTGTTAAAGCAGAATTTTAGACAGTCAATTTTTCGTTTAAATGGACTGCTTAACTCTAAGCCCAGTGCATGTTCTTCTAACCCTACATCGTCAATTTACTGTTTAATTAGGTGATAGTATACAATTTTTACTACTTTGGCTAAAGCAAAGATTTTTTATTTTATTATTATTATTATTATTTAAAAAAAATATATACATTTATTAATTATATTTATAACAATAGTAAAGGTGACGTGAAGAAAAACGAAGAATTAAAAATTGCATTAGAAAACAATGAATTAAAATAGAAAAAGACTAGCACATAAACAACAGCATCGCCACGGGAGTTTTATAAAATTTTAAATTTAATAAAAAATCCGTGCGCAAAACTGTGCAATGATACAACTTTTTTTTCAGCAGAATTTGAAAACTCATAACCAGTAGATATTTTAAATAAATACTTTAATTTTGACAAAGCAGCATAAATCATTGACCATTTGGTTACTATTTGATACAATTATTACCTCTTTCTAACATGGTTAGATTTTGTTGTTTTTTCGTACCATCGTTCTTATTACTTTTTTTCTATCGGCTACAGCATTAGTTAATTGTTTAATTTAGTGGTGATAGCTATGGCAGTAACTGCTTGTTCAGTGATTATAGTAGACAATGGTGATAGCTACAGCAATAGTTGCTTGTTTAATGGTTGTGATTATAGTAGACATTACTCGGTGGTGGTAGCTGTGGCAGACGTGGTAATTGTTCAGCGGTGGTAGCTAGTTGTAATTGCTTGTTCAGTGGGTGACAGCTATAGATGGGTGACGAAATTATTTTCGCAATGACGAAATTGACGAAATTATAAGTGACGAAATTATTTTCATAGTGACGAAATTGACGAAATACTTATTTCGTCAAATTTCGTCAATTTCGTCACCCATCACTAGTGACAGCGATAACAGACTTTGTAGCTACAGTAGTTATAAGATAAAAATTCTATAATTTGTAGGAAAAATCATATACGTAATCGACGTATATTATATTGATCTACATATTGCAAAAATTGTATTCTTGATGCCTATTCATATATAATAACACTAACGGTATCAGAAATGTAACTCTAACCTAAATCCAGCTTTCGAGATTTGATTGTGTCACGATTTTAATCATGTGAAAGTAGACGATAGTGGGTGGCTGTAGTATGGCTATTAGGTCTGGCTCTAGCTGCGGCTAATATCTTAAGTGATGGTTAAGTCATGGCTTGAAACCAACAACTGCCATAGTTTAAATATGGCTTGAAGCCAGCTCTAGCCGTAGCTTTGATGATAACTCTGGCTGTAATTTGAAGCTCAGACCATAATTCAAGCCATAATTTTAATGCCATGCGGTCTTATCTAATTAATGTTAGGAATAATGGCTTGAACCATGATTAGCCATAGCCCAAGCCACACTCCATAGCTTAATTTATAGCCTAAGCATGGCTCAGCCATGATGTTACGATTTAAGCTATGATTTAAACTATATCGATGAGTTAAACTATGGCTTATACGATAAGTGTTAAAATCCTAGTTTGACTTCATCTGTGGTTATTTCGAGTCATACTAAATTGTTCAAGCCAATAACATCCCTATTTTAATAATTACAATCTTATCATCAACAATTCTCGTCAATAGAAAGAACAATCTTTCGGAACAATCAATTATTTACTGCACAATTTTTACGACAATTTTCCGGTGACTAAATCATAGTGTAACGTTATGGCGTATCTTAGGAAGAACGGAAGAACGGAAGAACACTACAGCACTGCTTAAGATTTTAGTCATGTTATTGGTTTTGCGGAATATTTGTGGAATGGAATTAGTAATGATATACAACGTGACTTCTCTATGTAAATTATGCTCAACATCAATAAAAGTAAATAAAATTTTTTGTAATCGGAACAATTGGAAAAAATAATATTTTTAGTTAGTCTATTCGAGCGGGATACCTTTTTTCTGAGTGTTTATCTGCAAGGATCTAGTTAAAACGGTAATCATACTGGAATTTCTTAAGACTTATAAACATAGATTAGTTGTTTATATAATATTTTTACGCGATAAGATTACGAAGATCTAGTTTTTAGTTGTACAATTGTTTAGATATGTAAATTTTAATGAAACATAAAATAAATAATGCGTTAGTATGAGACATCCACTATGATGTAGAATTATTTAATAAATAGCTTTAAAAATTGCAAATTCCTCTATCGAATTTTTACTTATCTCACTAAAAATCATGAAGATTGCTGTTGAAACACAAGAAACAATGCGCGTTAGGCTTGAACAAAAGCCTAGAACTAAACGATCAAATTCGATGTACGGTAAATGCCAACATGTGTTTAAAATTGAGCAACAATTGCAAGAAGTAACTCTCACACAAGAAGAAAAAATTTCTGAGACGGGTAACTTACTTTATTACGATTACAATAATGGCACAAATCGTATATATAAAAATTATTATTAAATGTTAACATCTTACATTTGACGTTTATTGCAAATCAAGATTGCCAAAATTTTGTGCCATCATCCCCAAGCTTCCTTTACACCAATCAACATGGTATTTATATTATTAATTATATACTTGAGTTGTATTATACCAATTTATTAACGCTTCGTATTTATAATATTTCTGCTAATAGCGGTAATCCCTAACGACGCACCTGAAATGCAGATGTTATATCAGAAAAATAGCACGAATGATACATATTATGCTGATAGCTTGGGACATTCGTTTCAAGAAATGTTTAGCATGGATATATCACAACTCCAAGAACTATTTGGTATATTTGGCATTAATTACCAACATTGATCATATGACGATTTAACTGAGTAGTAAGGTAAATATTCGTTTAATAAATATATATGTATTAAATTAATCTTTTTTAATGCTTTTCTATGTATAAAATTAAATTAATCTTTTTTAATGCTTTTCTATGTATAAAATAATAACTTACACGTATTAATAGCGAAAGCACTAGGCATTCTGAGTCCGAAATGTCAGCTTTCTAATTAACGATTTTGGAATTGTTTACATTTACTTTATAAAAGATTAACAATGAAACGAAAAAAAAACTTTATATATTCATCAACTACATCTAAGTTAACTATCCTTTAACCATCTTTGTTAACTATTTTTGACCATCTTTGATGTATAATGTCTGAATCTGAAAAATTGTATATACTGTATATATATGTATTTGTGTTTTTGAATATATTTAGGACGTATAACTATTATCATAGCCTATATCATAGTTGTTATTATAACTATTATAAATATACAATTTATAAATTTCAAAAATTAAAAAGAGTCAAAAAATGTAACTTTTATATTTTTCGTTTTGACACGGATGTGTACCTCCGAGCTTTATTTCGTTTGAATATATGGAATAATATTTTTTTCTATCCTTTCTTTTATTGCCGAAAATGCTATTGTTATACGAATGATACTACGTATTAATTTTAAGAAAGAAAATTAGAAATTTTTATGTAGAGGCAAGACTAACGCAATTTGGTAAAAACCAACTTCCAATGTAACCTTAACGGATTTATAAGTGACTGTACGACACTCACGTAAAATAGTATTTTTTTTTTAACGAGAGATTTGCGGCTTTTCGAATGCCTGAATAAAATGCAACTTCTGCATTACCTATATCCTACATAAAAGGTTAATCCGTGTCCTATATTCCATGTCTTATCCATAAATGTTGCATGTTTATGGAATTTATACCTTCAAATGATAGAAATTATTCGGAGTTTTTACAGAAATTAAGGAGATAAAATGGAAATCTACAAATTATTTTTTTTTACAACGTATCAGCACACCGTTGATAATAGGCGAATGCCATTTGTCCATTTTTCTTGAATTCGATTCGTTAAATAGCAACTACAAATCATAGAAGTTTCATAGCATCACCTAAATCTACTATTGGCTAAAAATGTTTGAGTTTGTTTAAATTTAAAATTAGAAAGGATATTATGTTTGTTAGTTCCCCAAGATAGATAAGACTCCTACTGTATTTCTTTGCTTTTTTCTTTTCTTGCCTTTTTTTCGTTTCATAAATTTACAGTTTGATTGGTTAGTCCAAATAAGAAAAGTGAATAATGGTCGGTAACGGGGATGAACGTCACAATGTCCAATTGGTTTCAATTTTTTTTTGACATATGTCCAATTTCAATTGGACATATGTCAAAAAAAAATTGAAACCAATTGGACATTGCCACCCCTGGTCAGTAATATTGGTCTATTTTGGCTACCGCATGATTTCGCGGACCGAAGCAATTAAAAATAACCATAAATTTCGTGATCTTCAAATCAGCTGATTAGAATAAGGAGATGTAAAATACCAAAAAGTAGATTAGCTACCTAAGTTTGATTACACTTGAATGTAGTACTTACGTACGTACGTAGAAATTTTCACACATTTACGTACGTACGTACATACGTAAATACGAAGGTCTTCTAGATATGCATTAGTTGTAATTTTGGGAGGTATAACTTCAGGTGTCTGTGTTTTATCCCACAATTGATGCATTTCAATTAGAGATGGAAGGTATACAACATAATATTCAAAATTATGATGGAAGGAATTCCCCTTTTATTCATTTATTTCTGCCTTTACACATTATGAGAGTTAACTACACCACACTAAAGTGCTATTAAGAACATATAGCCATAAAGTTACGTATTTCACTCAATACATATAGGTACTGATACACTAATTTAGACATGCATATCAATATGTTAGAGTACAATCTGTATTAAGAAAAAGTAAAATTCTATCGGAAATTTACCCTTATTCAAAATCCCTAATTTATCATTGTATTCGTCTCATGAATGAATTATTAATTTGTTTTACGGAAATTTCAATAGATTCGTATTAGCTTTGGTAGATCTTTACTGAAAACATTTTGCAGCTCATATTTTTAATGATTTTCCTTATTTGGAAAGCAGTATAGTATATGTTTTATGCTAAAGTGTGTAATCAAACTGACAAATATTTAGGCGATATTAAAGTTTAAGAATAAAATATTAGAATTTAATTTTTATTTAAACTTTAGTAATATATAACTGTTTTAATGATATAGATCTAAATTTATTGACAGTATAAATTTATTAGCCGTATGTAATTTGATTCCTTTCACTAACAAATTCAAAGTGTGCAAAAATTATTCAATAGCCGTGAGATATAATCAAATTATCGCACATCGCAACCAATTTTTTTTAATTTTTATGCTTAATATGATTATTAATGTTTATAATTATTCTGTTTACGAAAACAAAATGATTCATCAGGAATAGTATTTTTGCATTCAAAACTTGTGTTTGCCTAAACTATTACAAAGGTTAAAAAATTTTTTAATGGCAGTTATTATTAAATTATTACATAAATTAGTGCTTTATAGCAACATCAGGGCTAATTTTAATCGTAGTCTAAATAGCAGAACTGATTACTTATAATCTGGTCAAGTTTGCAGATCTGCTATTCCCTTATGAATTAAATATAATCGAATGAACAAAAAGCTTATCTATACTGCATTAGAATACTTAATGCATAAAAATTGTAGGAATATAAATTTTGAATCGACATTTATCACGTGATATCATGTGCTTTATTTCAAAACGTATATTATGAAATGTGTTAATTACCTAATTTTATAATTTGTTCTTAAGTGGTTTTTCCTGCAGAAAATTTCATATCTACAATATTGTTGGTGATATTCCAATTTGATTCATCTACTGACCATTGCAGTCTTTTCCAATCTTTGTCAGAAGGTTTGAAATATTTATGTTTACTCAAAATTTGAGATGGCGCATCAAAATCATTATTTGGAAATGCAGTGAAAGTTTGAGAAGAATTCGATGATTTTGAAATATTTGACGTTTCAGAGAAATCAGAACTAGGTGAAGTGCCTAAATTTTCTATTACGGCTAAATTATTAGTCATAGTTAAATTTTCTTCTACTTCCTTATGTGATCTATCTAGTTTATTAAAATAATTTAAATTATCTAAATTGTGCAATGACATATTTAACTTTTTCCAATCTTCGTTTCCTGGCACAAAATAATTCCTTATTTCAAATTTTGATTTACTAAAATTAATAACTGTTCTAAATTTTGAACATGATTTAATTTTAGGTTGTTGGTATTCATATTTTGTATTGTCAGTTGTTGAGGATGTAGAAGTAGTGGATGATAAATTGCGATAAAAGCTTGTACGAATAGTATTATCGATAACTTTATTTTTTTTTCGTTTTTGAATATAAGCTTCATTATCTGAAGAATCTCTAAAAGTAGAACAACTTTCATTGTCGCTCGAATAATTTTTCGCTCTTACATCAACTTTACGCGTTATGTTCCCAGCAATTTCTTCCTCAGTTAAAACTGAAGGTTCCAAAATCAACGTAGAAGGAGATACTATGGATGTAGAACAATGCGTGGAATCAGCGTCTGAATATAAAGGCTCTTGGACTTTTATCAGTTGATCAGATAGTAATGTGTCATAATTGGTTGCTTCCTTGTAATGATTGTACTTGTAACTAGTTGGTTCGAAGATCACGTCCTGTAATTAAAAAAAAAAATAAAAGATTACCAAAAAGCCATGCCAAATTAGACGTTATAATAAGTTTAAGATTGGTAACCAGCGGTGCGGACTCATTGTCGAGATCGGTAATTGTCCTTGGGCTATCAGCTTCACTCGGTAAGATCGTATTTTCATCAGTTGATTCTGACTCACTACGAATACTTGACATTATCTATAAAGTATAGAACGATTATCGAGGTTAATGATATGATGATTAGTTTTATCGGTAAATGATTCGATTACGAATGATGATTAGTTTTATCGGTTAATGCTAACCTTGGAAATACCTTCAATTATGAATATTGATAGAATTATTTAACATAAATTTCCTGGCTATAATCAAATGAGTGTATTATTTATCCTTTTTTATTATAGGAATTTAATTTTAACTACAATTAGTCCTTAACATATAAGTAAAGAAAAAAAAATATATATCGAAAAAAGAATTCTTTCAAGTGGGCCAAAAATATTTGAAGATCAAAACATAATTCATATGAATGTACAAATACGGATCTTTCTGGTTTTAGCCAATTTGTTATTGTGTATTTTTTAAATTATTGAACAACATCACGCATGAGTAAAAGTACTAAATTTTGCTAATCATTTTTGTATTGCTTATACTATAATGAACACTTAATTTTTCATGACATTGGTTATATCTATATTACGTTAGCGCATAATTTAGTGGATATTTAAGCTTATCTTTTCGCAATGAAAATATGGTACAGTACTATATTTTAGTAATCCGCGCTAGGCATTTGGAGAAATTTGAATGACGCCATTTAATAATTAATCGCCTAAAGTGCTAATATTTTTGCCTTTGTATTTTGTTATTTTTTATTCGATACTTAATAAAAAATAATAGTTTGCTCCACATCATGCAAAACGTTTAAAAATCCAGATATAATTTAGTATACTATTATATAGTCTACCCTTTACAATAATACCGTAATTCACTCACTCTCGTTATAATGAAGTGATCGGATCTATTAATATAAACAAATACTTAGTGCTTTATTGTAGTAACTCATATATTGAGAGAAGTTTTTATAAAAAGGGGTTTTGAGTTTATTTCGCTGCATTAACATTTAATCAGCCTCACTCAGTGTTATCGCTGGAATTCTTGAACCCCATTGGGCGTCCAGAATTTCCAAGGATTCAATGGATGTTCATAGAAAGACATTCCTATGCTTGGCTAATTTACATCGACCAAATGTAAATTCGTATCTGAATTAGCCTCCTAGCAACTTCAGATATTTGAAGTTGCAACTTTAGGTAAATAATTATTTCAGCTACATTATTGTATCTGAAGTATCTCTCATGTCTAAAGTAACTTTTTATTTAAGGTTACAACTTTAGATAATAGCAGATACCTGTTAGACCAAAGTTACAATAATGAAAGAGTATCTGAAGGCGTTACAAGCATTTTGATTAGTAAATTTCTGGTTCCTATAAGCCCTGCTCATGCAAGTTATTGAATTCGTTGCTATAAAAATGCTGCTACTTGTAACTCTGGAACAGTAGTTAAATAGCTATCTAGATTGATCTTAGTCATCAAATTAATATTCGTGGAATCAAAATTTTTCTAAAACTTTGAGCGAAGATATTTCAGCAACCACCCATCCAAATTCGATGAAATTTTTTTTTATCTTTTTTCTACGGATCAGTAGAATCAAAAATAATCGGTTTGATTAGATGATTACTGAGATATCATCACTTAAAGTTTGAAAATATTAAAAAGTCTATAAAAATAACAACCATGACAAAATTTTTATAAAACCTTGAGCGAAGATGTCTCAGCAATCACACATCAAATTCGATGTTTTTTTTTTTTTACTTGTTTATACGATTTGTAAAATCAAAATAATAAAAAATTTGGCTAGGTAGTTGTTGAGATATCTTCGCTTAAAAATTTGAAAACATTAAAACGTCTATCAAAATCATCGCAGCAAAATTTTTATAGAAATTTAAGCGAAGATATCTCAGCAACCACCATTCAAATTCGATGTATTTTTTTATTTTGATACTACAGAACTGAGGCATCAAAATAAAAAAAAAAATTATTAAATTTAGTTGAGCAGTCATAGAGATTATTTTTACTCAATTGTTTTAAAAAAATTTAAATTTTATGGGAGTATATCGAATCTTTTATAAGAATCCCATTCTATAATGAACTTTTTTTGACAAATTTATTGGTGTTCGGTTTAGGAAATAGTAAATTACTTCTATAAGGAACTTTTAAAAAAATTTTACTATATGAATTGTCAGTTTATTATAGTAACTGAACTGTATAAGATTCTGTTTTCTTTTTATTCGTTTGTTATTCAACAAAAATAAAGGTGGTCTTATATATAGAAATATAAGAAAAGATTACAACACACTCACGCTATAATAAAGCCTTCAGGTTGAGAAAATCCTCACAATAACTTATATTGAGAGAATACTAATATACACTTAACTATATACGGTTGAAATTAAATAATTCAGTAAGTCAAAACTCTTCATTATATCAAGCGTTTAACAAAAGTGAGCTGTATTTTTTACAGACTAGCATTTAATTCATGAGCATATTTTGGAACTCTATAATCTTTTATAGCTTTCGGTCGAATTACTTATTTATATTAATTTGATTCATGAATGCTGATTCGCTTATAAATCCAATTACAGTCGAAACTGATATTACTTGACTAATATAAAAGATTAGTATAAAGAAAAAAGAAAAAAAGAAAAAGAAAGTATAGTTAGAAAAGAAATTCACAAATTAAAGAAATGAAAGAACAAGAAAAAGTTATCAACAAGACAAGTTATAAGAATATAAACAACAAATAGAACTACTAAAAAGTAGACAAATTTAAGTCTTAGAACAAAAAAGAAAGCAAATACAAGCCTGTATTCAGTTTTAGAAATTCAAGTACAAGAAAAAAGAAAAAGACAAAGTTTGAAAACTAGAAAAGTCAGAAAAAGAAAAAGAAAAAAGTTAAATACAAGATTAGACTACCAGCAGAAGTAAAAAAGAAAAGAAATAATGAATCGTATGCAAAGCCCTGTGGAAGTCCAAGTGAAGGTACATGTCTGGTTTAAGGAATTCCCGGAAGGAAACCGGGTACGGCAGAGCGCTGGCACTACTATAGTGAGAAATGTGGAGAATGTTGTCGACGTTTGTGGAAAGGATTGGCCTTACCTAA